TCGGGAGGCCGAGCAGGAGATACTTGGACCCAGGAGGGGAGGTCACAGTGAGCCGAGATTGCGCCACTGTACTCCAGCCTGGGCGACAGAGTGAGACTCTGTCTCAAGAAAAAAAGGTGGGGGAGTTACACTAGAGAGTGTTTGTGTTTCTGCCTTCAACAGGTCATGCCAGGAGAAGAGACTTTTTTTAAGTCGCTTTATTCTATTTCCAAGCTTAGCCTTCCCTATTTTTAGAGACCACCTCCACGTCCTTTCTGTCTGAAGCCTGGCATCTTGAGCCTGCTGTGGAGGGGTGATCCCGACGCACAACCACACACTCCTAGCGCCTCTGAGTCCCTCCCACCCTCTCAGCATCGGGCTGAGACGTACCCACTGTGCGCCACATGCCTGCTGTGTGTGGGAGGTACCCAGTGTGTGTGACATACCCACTGTGTGTGTGACGTACCCACTGTGTGCGTGACCTACCCACTGTGCGTGACGTACCCACTGTGTGCGTGACCTACCCACTGTGCGTGACGTACCCACTGTGTGCGTGACGTACCCACTGTGTGTGTGACGTACCCACTGTGTGCGTGACGTAACCACTGTGCATGACGTACCCACTGTGTGCGTGACGTACCCACTGTGTGCGCCACATGCCCGCTGTGTGCAGGCTGTACCTGCAGTGTGTGACTTACCCACTGTGTGTGTGACGTACCCACTGTGTGCGTGACGTACCCACTGTGTGTGACATACCCACTGTGTGTGACGTACCCACCGTGTGTGTGACGTACCATGTGTGACGTACTCACTGTGTGTGATGTACCCACTGTGTGCGTGACGTACCCACTGTGTGCGCCACATACCCGCTGTGTGTGGGACATACCCACTGTGTGTGACATACCCACTGTGTGTGTGACGTACCCACTGTGTGTAATGTACCCACTGTGTGTGATGTGCCCACTGTGTGTGTGCAGGGCCGCTTCCCATTCGTGCTTGTCCTTTAGAAAGTCATGTCTGCTGGAACCTCAGAATGTGGCCTTAATTTGGAAAACAGGTCTTTCCAGGCATGGTTAGTTAACATGAGGTCACACTGGATTAAAGTGGGCCTAAGGCCACTGACTGGTGTCCTCATAAGAAGAGGGCAGAAGCCGCTTGAACCCTGGTGACACAGCGAAACTCTTTTTTTTTTTTTTTTTTTTTCTGAGATGGAGTCTTGCTCTGTCGCCAGGCTGGAGTGCAGTGGCGTGATCTCAGGTCATTGCAGCCTGCAGCTGCCGACCTAAAGCAATCCTCCTGCCTCCACCCACACCCCCTCCTACCCAGTAGCTGGAACTACAGGCAGGCACCGCCGCACTCCGCTACCTTTTTGTATTTTTTTGTAGAGACAGGGTTTTGCCTTGTTGTCCAGGCCAATATATGTTTTCCAGCACAGAAACAAAATTTGGCTTTAATGACATCACACACACCCTTGGACCTATCTGTTCCCACCAAGTTGAGCCTAGAGTTGAAACACCAAGGCTGGGCCAGGCGTGGTGGCTCACACCTGTAATCCCAGCACTTTGGGAGGCCAAGGCGGACGGATCACAAGGTCAGGAGATCAAAACCATCGTGGTTAACATGGTGAAACCCTGTCTCTACTAAAAATACAAAAAATTAGCCGGGCGTGGTGACACGCACATGTTATCCTAGCTACTTAGGAGGCTGAGGCAGGAGAATCGCTTGAATCTGGGAGGTGGAGGTTGCAGTGAGCAGAGATTTCACCACTGCACTCCAGCTTGGGTGACAGAGCAAGACTCCATCTCAAAAAAAAAAAAAAAAAAAAAAAAAAAAAAAGACCAAAGCGGGACGACCTCAGGACAGGACGTAGATCAATATGATGCCGCGTGGAGTGGAGAGATGCCTGTGTGTCTTTATCGTGCGGCATCACTGTGCAGCTTCTGTTGCTAACCTGGGCCCAGGGAGCGATTCACAGCTGTCTCTCCCGTCGCACGTTCCAGGCACTGAGTACTGGGCAGATACAACCGACAAAAACTGCTGTTAGGAGCTGACGTGAGAGTGGGCGATGTGGATGCCTGGGAAACATATGCATTCCCCAGATTCGCATCGGACTCTTTTCTTCAGTGGCGGGAGGGAGAGAGTCTCGCTCTGTTGCCCAGGCTGGAGTGCAGTGGCCCCATCTCGGCTCACTGCAACCTCTGCCTCCCAGGTCCAAGCGATTCTCCTGCCTCAGCCTCCTGAGTAGCTGGGACTCCAGGTGCCTGCCCCACGTCTGGCTAATTTTTGTATTTTTAGTAGAGACAGGGTTTCATCATGTTTGCCAGGCTGGTCTCAAGCTCCTGACCTCAAGTGATCTGTCCCCCTCAGACTCCCAAAGTGCTGGGATTGCAGGTGTGAGCCACCATGACTGGCCCCATCAGATTCTTTTTGCTTTTTTTTTTTTTTTTTTTTTTTTTTTTTGAGATGGAGTTCCGCTCTTGTCACCCAGGCTGGAGTGCAATGGTGCAATCTTGGCTCACGGCAACCTCCACCTTCTAGGTTCAAACAATTCTCCAGCCTCCCAAGTCACTGGGATTACAGGTGCCCACCATCACATCCAGCTAATTTTTGTATTTTAGTAGAGACAGGCTTTCACCATATTGGCTAGGCTGGTCTTGAACTCCTGACCTCAGGTAATTCACCCACCTCAGCCTCTCAAAGTGCTGGGATTACAGGTGTTAGCCACCATGCCTGGCCCACTCTTTTTACTTTTACAATTTTTAAAGGTTTTTATACTGAAATAATTTTAGGTTGCAAAAGTAATACAGAGTTCCTGTAAACTTTCCATCCAGTTTCCCCAAATGTTACTTTTTTTTTTAAATTTATTTTGAGACAGAGTTTTGCTCTTGTTGCTCAGGCTGCAGTGCAATGGCGTGATCTCGGCTCACTGCAGCCTCTGCTTTCTGGGTTCAAGCATTTCTCTTGCCTCAGCCTCCTAACTAGCTGGGATCACAGGCGCCCACCACCACACCTGGGTAATTTTTGTATTTTTAGTAGAAATGGGGTTTCGCCATGTTGGCCAGACTGGTCTCGAACTCCTGACCTCAGGTGATCCACCTGGCTCCGCCTCCCAAAGTGCTGGGATTACAGGCGTAAGCCCCCACCCACTGTCCCCAAATGTTAACGTGTTACACACCCACAGTACATACACAATAGCATGAACTCATCCATAGGGGTGGCCCCTCTTTCGCTGCTGTCCCCCCATATTCCATGTTGTCAACTGTAGTCTCAGTTGCTCTGTCTCTTCCCCATTCTTGACACTTGTAGAGTATCAATCAATTAGTATTATTATTTTTGAGACAAGGTTTTGCTGTGTCACCCAGGCTGGAGTGCAGTGGTGTGATCTCGACTCACGCAGCCTCCCAGGCTTAGGCAATCCTCCCATCTCAGCCTCCCAAGTATCTTGGACTGCAGACGCCACCTTGCCTGGCTAGTTTTTTGTATTTTTTGTAGAGACAGCATCTTGCCAGCCTCCAGTTCCTGGGCTCAAGTGATCTGCCCACCTTGGCCTCCCACAGTGTTGGGATCACAGGTGTGAGCCACTGCGCCTGCAGGTCGTGTTTTGAAAACATATGCTGAGGCATTTACTCATTTTGGTGAGATTTTGTGTCGGAAGTTCATGACGTGTACTAAAACTACTCTTTTCTTTATGCTTGGTTGTCTTCCTTTTCATACTTTGGGTTTTTCACAGCATAAAGTTCTAAAATATGTGCTCTAAAACACACGCATGTTATCGCCTGGCGTCACCTCTAAACCGAGCCTGTAAGCTCCAGGCCAGGTTACTTCATTACTAAAAGAACTAATTCTGATTCTAGGCCAGGCAGGTGGCTCATGCCCGTAATCCCAGCACTTGGGGAAGCCAACGAGGGCAGATTACATGGGGTCAGGAGTTTGAGACCAGTCTGGCCAACATGGTGAAACCTGGTCTCTACTAAAAATACAAAATTGAGTTGGGCATGATGGTGCATACCTGTAATCCCAGCTACTCTGGAGGCTGAGGCCAGAGAATCACTTAACCCTGGGAGGCGGAGGTGCCCGTCACTGCACCTGACCCTCTAATGTTTGTATTTTTAGTAGACGCGGAGTTTCACCCTGTTGGCCAGGCTGGTCTCCAACTCCTGATCTCAGGCGATCCACCCATCTCGGCCTCTCCAAGTGTTGGGATTACAGGCATGAGCCACTGTGCCTGGCCTTCCCACTCTTCATGAGAAATTCCAAACGTAGAAAAAGTCAGAAGATAGCTCACTGCAGACCTGAATTCCTGCGTCTAGACCCCGCAGCTGTTAACAGTTGGCCGTAGCTGATCACTGCATACACATGTGCATGTAATTTACTTTGCTGCAGAACAAATTTCCAGACATCACGACACGTCACCTTTACCAAAGAGTTCAGCAATTATTTCTTAAAATAAAGAACATTTTTCTACATCAGAGGATGGCAAACTATGGTCCTAGGCCAAATCCAGCCACCCACGATTTTAAAAATAAAGTTTCGAGCTGAGCGCGGTGGCGCCTATGGTCCCAGCTCCTATGGAGGCTGCGGCTGGAGGATCCCTTGAGCCCGGGAGGCCGAGGCTGCAGTGGGCCGAGATCGCACCACTGCACTCCAATCTGGGCCACAGAGCAAGACGCTGTCTCAGGAAAAAAAATACAAGTGGGCTTATAAATAAAATGAGATTAAAAATCAAGACAGCAGAAAAAGAGAAAAAAAGGAGAAAAAAAAAGAAAAAGAGAAAAAGAAAGAACAAACAGAAAAAAAAAGAAAAGAAAAACAAAAAAAGAAAAAAAAAGAAAACACACACACACACACACACACACACACACACACGACAGCATTGCCTTCTAACCACCCCGCGCATGCGCACAGGCAGGGAGCGCGTGCCCTCTCTGCCGCCCTCGGCCTCTGGGGGCCGCAGTTGCGCAGCTCGGCCACCGCGCGGCGGCGGCGTGCGCCTAGGCAGTGTCGCGCGCGTGTGACGTCACACCGCGCGCCGGGCCGGAAGGAGAGGCGCAGGCGGCGTGTGTTCTGCGGGCTGGAACCGGCGACTCAGGGACGGGGCCTGTTGGCCGCCGGCGTCATGGTGTCGCGCGTGCAGCTCCCGCCTGAGATCCAGCTGGCTCAGCGCCTGGCAGGCAACGAGCAGGTGACCCGAGACCGGGCGGTGAGGAAGCTCCGGAAATACATCGTCGCCAGGACTCAGCGGGCCGCAGGTTGGCATGGGTGTGGGCGGCGGGCGTCTCGCGGGCCGGCTGGGGCTGCTGCGGGTGCCAGCGGCGGCGGCCGGGGCCGGGGGCCGTCCGAGCTTTGTGGAACACCCACGTGGCCGGGCCGGCCAGGCGGGGCATACGGGCCTGTTGCCGGTCCCCGGCCCCCGCGGCCGCTTTACTTCATAGTGCGGAGACTTCTGGGCCCTCTGCGAGGACCCCCCTCCCCAGCCCCCTGACTCCTCTCCTAGCTCAGACGTCCCTCCCTCCAGCAGACCAGGTACTCCTGCTGCCTTGCTGTTTGGGCGCCCAGCACGTTTCCGTCATGGAAGCATTTCTCACTGTGTGCAGTTTGTGTTCGTGGTACCCGTGGTTCTCCGAGCGTGGCCCCCCATCAGCAGCAGCATCCCCTGGACATTTGTTAGAAATGCACATTCTGTGCTGGGCGCCGTGGCCCAAGCATGAAATCTCAGCTACTTGGGATGCTGAGATGGGAGGATCACGAGAGCCCAGCAGTCCAACCTGGCAACATAGCAAGACCCCATTTCCATTAAAAAAGAGAAGAAAGAGATGCAAGTTCTAGGGTCCCAGCCCTGCGAAATCAGGACCCGCAGTCTGCTTTAGGAAGCTGTTCGAGTGCTTCTGCTGCTCACACTCAGCCTGAGAGCCCCTGCTCCAGGAACAGGTTGCCAGACATACAGGACTTCCATCAATGTCAGCTGAGTAATGTTTCACATTGTTAAAACATATTTTTCTGAGTAAGACCTCACTCTGTCGTGCAGGGTCACGGCTCAGTGCAGCCTCTACCTCCCAGGCTCACATAAGTCTCCCATCTCAGCCTCCCCAGTGGCTGGGACTGCAGGTGCCGTGCCACCACGACCAGCTGAGTTTTTTATTTTTTGTACAAATTGGGGTCTTCCTATGTTGTGCAACCTGGTCTTGAACTCCTGGCCTCAAGTGATTCCGCCTCAGCACTCAATTCCAAAGTGCTGGATTTACAGGCATGAGCCACCGCACCTGGTCTGAGTAAGTTTATATCTGTTTTCCTTGCTAGTCTGAATGCCTGAGTTAATTTTCTTCTTTTAATATTTGAGATATGTTCCAAAAAAGTGCAGAAACCCTCCATGTAATGCTGGGTGAATTATCACCAGCAGATTAACCTGTGTGGCCACTGTCCAGTGGTCGAGGTTCGCAGTTTTGAATTTCCAGAATGTACCTCGCCTGATACCTTGTAGATTCTCAGTCAGTTTCACTGAGCGCATGAAGTGACAGTTACCTGGAGGAGCTGCACAGCCACAGTCACATCGGGTTTTGGGTTAGAAGGACTGTTTGAAGGGAGGGCCAGATTCTGCCCCCCACTGCCTTTCCTGTAAGTGGGACTTTGGTCTCATTCAGACAGTCACATTTCTGTGACTTCCTTTCTGGCACTCAAATGTTGCTGTTTTGATGCAGATGGTTTTACTCATGACGAGCTGCTGAAAGTGTGGAAAGGACTGTTCTATTGCATGTGGATGCAGGACAAGCCGCTCCTCCAGGTGAGTGGGGTGAGCAGTAGAGGAGGGTGCAGAAGCAGCGGGGAGGGTGGATTGGCATCTCCTCCTCCCGGTTTTAATATGGCCGAAGACCCTGGGGGAGGTCGTATAGCCTTGATGCTCGGTTCCGCATGGCTGGTGGGTGTGGGCCTTTGGTTAGAGTAAGTTGTACACTTGCTGAGGACGTGATTGACTGAATTGTGCACTGGAGCAGCACTGGCTCTGTGGGTGAAAACCGGGTTTTGTGTTTGTCCTGAGTTGCAAACAAGTTCTGAAATAGTGGAAGCCAGTGGGCCGAATCAAGTCTCCCGAGACGAGCACTTCCCCCACTAGCCTTTTCCAAACATTGTTTCTCAAATTGTGAATTCTGTGGTCTTCAAAATCGCCTGGGTGGTGAGGGTACTTAGTTAAATTCAGATTCCTGGGCCATATTCCGTGCCCATTGGATGATCGGTGGGGGGCTGTGAAATGTCTCTCAGCACATGCCCTGGGCGACGCACAGCACGGCGATGCAAGCAGAGGGCGAGGGACTTCTGGGGTCTCGCAGCTGTCCTCCTCCTCATGGTTGGGGGGTTGCGAGTCCCAAGGCTCCGCCGGGACGCTCCGTTGCTTAGGGCACAGCCCCCGTTAGGAGGGCAGTGCCTGCCGTGGTCGTGTGAGAGGCTGTTGACCCTGGCTGTAGAGGGGGTCTTTTGCAGCAGGGGTGAAACCTCAGTCCACTGAGCTGAGATCCCCTGGAAGCCGACTCTGTGATGAGTGGGTGAGTGAGTGGCTGTGTGTGTGTTTCGTGAGCTTCAGGGCTGAGGGGGTTTTGTTGTTCCCTGCACAGGAAGAATTAGGAAGGACCATTTCCCAGCTCATTCATGCTTTTCAGACCACGGAGGCACGTGAGTACACACTGCCATGGTTGGCTACATTTGTAGATGTCAGAACCTCAGAGCATCACAGACACCTCAGAGCCACCAGACCAGGAAGTTTGCGTTCTCAAATCCAGAGCAAGAGAGCGCCAGCTGGTGCCTGCGGGCTTAGCGTGTGTGACAACGGTGTCTGTGGGTGCGTGTGTGAGACGCCGGTGTCTGCAGGCTTAGTGTGTGAGATGCCAGTGTCTGTGGGTGCGTGTGTGAGACGCCGGTGTCTGCAGGCTTAGTGTGTGTGAGACGCCGGTGTCTGCAGGCTTAGTGTGTGTGAGACGCCGGTGTCTTCAGGCTTAGTGTGTGTGAGATGCCGGTGTCTGTGGGTGTGTGTGTGAGATGCTGGTGTCTGCAGGCTTAGTGTGTGTGAGACGCCGGTGTCTGTGGGTGCGTGTGTGTGAGACGCCGGTGTCTGTAGGCTTAGTGTGTGTGTGACAACGGTGTTTGTGGGTGCGTGCGTGAAGAAGGGGTTCCTGCATGTTCTCGTCTCACTTCCTAGAGTGGCTTTGCGCTCCTCAGTGGTTCTCGTCCGGCTTCTTCCTCCTGCAGAGCACCTGTTCCTGCAGACCTTCTGGCAGACCATGAACCGCGAGTGGACAGGCATCGACAGGCTGCGCCTGGACAAGTTCTACCTGGTGAGGCCGCCGCCAGGGGGTGGGGGGTGGGGGGTCAGCTGGGGGCAGAGATGGGCCACGCCTGGTATATTGTACATGGTGAGGCCGCCGACAGGGCACCAGGGGTGGCCTCCCATGCCTGCAAGAGCAGTGTCGTGGCTGCTGGGCTGTGCTGTCATCGGGGGTCCTAGGGGTCCGCGTGTCCTCTGCTGCTATTAACTGTGGCTCAGACCCCTCTGTGGGCGTATGGCCATGCTGATCAGCAGCGGGGACAGCTGTAATGGGTGTTGAGCCCCATGGAGGGACAGTGGCATTGTGGGGCAGGCCTGGAGCTTTATTCAGGGCGTTTGTCTGTCAGCAGCTCTGGGGGCCAGCGGTGTGCTTGGGAATGGCAGAGGTGACCACGGCCGTGGCCTCATCCTCCAGCGGCTCCTGGTACATGGGGAAGGGTGGTCTGGTAAAGTCGGGCTGGGCTTCTGCTAACACGAACCTCCTGTGTCAAAGCTCATGCGGATGGTCCTGAACGAGTCGTTGAAGGTTCTGAAGATGCGAGGCTGGGAAGAAAGGTGGGTGCACGGCGGGCCTGCTCTCGGGGGACGCGGTTCTTGGGGACGCAGCTTGTCTCGTCTGTCTTTTGAGTCTTTGTCATAAGGAGATGTCAGCCTTTCCATTAAAGCATGCCCCAGTGGTGCTTAGAGTGAAGACATTTTTAAAAATAAAGATTAGTTTGTGTGTGTGTGGAAATGGTGCCGTGTATCCCCAGGCGAGAAGGTCCGTTCTCACTGGGAGTCAGAAGGGAGTCCTCTCCTGAAAGGGTGTGCAGCCGAGGAGCTTCTTAGAAAAACACAGTGTGCTCAGCTCTGTTAGCAGTGCTTTTTGTGTTTTTGGAGTAGGTCTCACTGTCGCCTGGGCTGGAGTGCAGTGGCGTGATCTCAGCTCACTGCAGCCTTGACCTCCTGGGCTCAAGTGATCCTCCTGCCTCAGCCTCCCAAGCGGCTGGGACTGCAGATGTGCACCAGAGTCCCACATAGTTTTTGTGTCTTTTTTGGTAGAGAGGAATTCTGTGCTGTTGCCTAGGCTGCTCTCAAGCTCTTGGGCTCAAGCAATCTGTCTTCTAGTCCTCCCAAGTTGTAAGCAGTGTTAATTGCTCCTAATTCGAAAACTATGTAACTTGTCCAGGCTTTTCACTTTCAGCAGCAGTGCCTGAGGCGGGGTGGTCTGGGCCCTGTGTGTTCTGTCTAACTGTGGGCACTTGCGGGTGCCAAGCCAGGCAGGGGCACACTCCCATCCTGGCAGTGTTCCGCTTCTGCCTCTGCCTGCCGCCAGCCCCTGGTCCCAGAGACCGAGGGGCGTAGGTAGGGATTTGACCCCTGCTGCCAACCTGGCACGCCCGAGCCTCTTCATCCAAGTTAGGGCAGCATTTTCTAAACCTTCAGGGGCAGGCTGAGTTTTACAATACAAAATGAGTTTCTAAGTATTTAACATTTTAAAGTTTTAAAAATTAATTTAAAAATTTTAGATTTCTTTGTAATTTTTTTAAAAATGAGTGATGCATACTCAATATAAAAAACTCGAAACCTACGCTGGGCGTGGTGGCTTATGTCTGTAATCCCAGTACTTTGGGAGTCTGAGGCAGGTGGATCACAAGGTCAGGAGTTTGAGACCAGGCTGGCCAACGTAGTGAAACCCTGTCTCTACTAAAAATACAAAAATTAGTTGGGCATGGTGGTGTGCACCTGTAGTCCCACCTACTAGGGAGGCTGAGGCAGGAGGATGGCTTGAACCCAGGAGGCAGAGCTTGTGGTGAGCTAAGATCATGGCCCTGCACTCCAGCCTGGGCAATAGAGTGAGACTCTGTCTCCAAAAAACCTCAAAACTTGGCCATGTGCGGTGGCTGAAACACCATCTTTGTGAAAAATACAAAAATTAGCTGGGCGTGGTGGCGCGTACCTGTAGTCCCAGCTACTCAGGAGACTGAGGCAGGAGAATCACTTGTACCTGAGGGGTGGAGGTTACAGTGAGCCGAGATAGTGCTGCTGCACTCCAGCCTGGCTATAGAGTGAGACCCTGTCTCAAAAAAAAGAAAAAAAAACACCTCAAAACTTTAGGAAACATTATTTTATGTATAATTTATTTTGGTTTTTTTTATGGAGATGGGGCCAGCTCCTGGGCTCAAGTGATCCTCCTGCCTCAGCCTCCCAAAGGGTGATGACAGATGTGAGCCACTGTTTGTGGCCAAACATTAGAAAGTGAGTACAGGCTCCAGGGTGGGTGCAGCGGCTCATGCCTCTAATCCCAGCACTTTGGGAGGCCGAGGTGGGTGGAGCGGGAGTCCAAGACCAGCCTGGCCAACATAGTGAGACCCCGTCTCTACTAAATACACAAAAATTAGCTGGGTGTGGTGGGGGAGCACCTGTAATCCCAACTACTAGGGAGGCTGAGGCACGAGCATCCTTGAACCTGGAAGCTGAAGGCTGCAGTGAGCTGAGAACATGCCACTGCAGTCTAGCCTGGGCAACAGAGCCAGACTGTCTCAAAAAAACAGTAATGTAAACTCCAGTGTTAACGAAAATGTTCCGTCTGACCCTGCCGCGGCCGTCTTTTGTGTGCATGTGTGTTTACGAAAGTAAAGGTGCAGACGCCTTCCTGTCACTGCAGTCCCTCAAAGACATCTGTCCGCGTTCTGCTGTGGCTGTGTGGTCTTTTTTTTTTGGCGGGGGGAAGAAGGGTTTAGAAAAAATATATTTGGAATTGATTTGTAATTTATATGTTCAAGGAGTTGATTTTGAGTATTTGAAGATGAAAATTAGAACCCAAATGTCACGTAGATGTTAGACCAGAGATCATAGCTTATGGCCTCAGTTGGTGTCTTTGGGGATGTGAAGTTCACACATCCTTGCCCCAGCCTTTTTTTTTTTTTTTTTTTTTTTTTTTGACATGGAGTTTTGCTCTTGTTGCCCAGGCTGGAGTACAATGGTATGATCTCAGCTCACCACAACCTCTGCCTCCCAGGTTCAAGCAATTCTCCTGCCTCAGCCTCCTGAGTAGCTGGGATTACAGGCATGTGCCACCATGCCCGGCTAATTTTGTATTTTTAGTAGAGATGGGGTTTCTCCATATTGGTCAGGCTGTTCTCAAACTCCAGACCTCAGGTGATCCGCCTGCTTTGGCCTCCCAGAGTGCTGGGATTGTAGGCATGAGCCACCACACCTGGCTGCCCCAGCCTTCTTTTCCTCTTCCCTTATAAAAAAGTATCAGGGCCAGGCGTGGTGACACTCACACCCTTAATTCCTTGTCATGAGTACCTGGGTCTGGTGGTGTGTACCTGGAGTCCCAGCTGCTTGGGAGGTTGAGGTGGGAGGATCACTTGAACCTGGGAGGTAGAGGCTGCAACTTAGCTAAGGTGATGCCACTGCACTCACCATGATAGCTGATAAAAAATAGAAAGAGCCAGGCACGGTGGCTCAAGCCTGTGATCCCAGCACTTTGGGAGGCTGAGGTGGGTGGATCATGAGGTCAAGAGATCGAGACGATTGCGGTCAACTTGGTGAAACCCCGTCTCTACTAAAAATACAAAAAATTAGCTGGGCATGGTGGCACGTGCTTGTAATCCCAGCTACTCAGGAGGCTGAGGCAGGAGAATTGCCTGAACCCAGGAGGCGGAGGTTGTGATGAGCCGAGATCGCGCCATTGCACTCCAGCCTGGGTAACAAGAGCAAAACTCCGTCTCAAAAAATAAATAAATAAATAAATAAAAATAAATAAAAACATAAAAAAATTAGCAAGGCCGGGTGTGGTGGTTCACACCTGTAATTCTAGCACTCTGAGAGGCTGAGGCAGGCAGACCACTAGGTCAGGAGATTGAGATGATCCTAGCTAACACAGTGAAACCCTGTCTCTACTAAAAATACGAAAAAAGAAAAAGAATGAGCAGGCTGGTTATGCTGGGGCAAGGGGATCCCTTGAACACAATAATTTGAGGCTGCAGTCATCCATGACTGACCCACTGCGCTAGCCTAGGTGATAAGAGTGAGAGGCTTTTTGTTTTTTTTGTTTTTTTGTTTTTTTTTTGAGACGGAGTCTTGCTCTGTCACCAGAATGAAGTGTAGCGGTGTGATCTCTGCTCACTGCAACCTGCACCTCGCAGATTCAAGCAATTCTGCCTCAGCCTCCCGAGTAGCTGGGATTACAGACACCTGCCATGACATCCAGCTAATTTTTGTATTTTTAGTAGAGACAGGGTTTCACCATGCTGGCCAGGATGGTCTCAATCTCTTGGCCTTGTGATCCGCCTGCCTCAGCCTCCCAAAGTGCTGGGATTACAGGTGTGAGCCACTGCCCCAGTCAAGATTGTTCCTTTAAAACAAAAAAAGAATCAGCAGGAGTTGGCCTGTGGTTGCCTGAGTTTCTGTAGGTTGGAGTGGCTGTGGGTGATTGTGCATTTAGGGCAGCGGTGCCTCTGGTTTGGGGGGATTTCCACACTTGAGTTCCCTGGCAGGACTGTGACGCCCTGAGCCTCTTGCTCATTCTAGGACTTAGTGTTGTGGGTGACCCCATAGGGGGCTCGTGACTTAAGCGGAATTAACTATTGAAGGGATGATTTTACTTCGGTTAACTTTTTTTGGCTTCTTATTACTTTCCTCACTGTTGCTGAGAACTCAGTACAGGAATCATCTGGGAGACCTTGGTGCCTTGCCCTGTGCCCGGGGTCCCGGTGCTGGCAGTGGCGTCCACGCTTCCCGCCCTCTCGGATCTCCTGCAGCCGTCACCGGGCTGTCACTAGTGCCCATGGCATCGCCCCCGCCTGGGAAGTTGGGCCCTTGCATCTGTGCGTCTTCCTCTTGGTCTCGGCAGCGGTTCTTGCCTCTGTCTCCTTTGTCCTGAGCCTCAGAGAGCGTCACTGGTGATCCTCAGGCCTCACTGTGGAACTTCCTGAGGGTCACACGGTTAACAAATCCAAGTTTGGCATCTGCATTATTGAGCACTCCAGGAGGTCTGGAGGCATCTAGGTGGTAAAGACTGTTCCCTGGGGCTGCCTGGTCTTCGGATCCCTGCCAGGGAGAGCTCTGGGGGACGTCACGGATGGAATGCTCTGTGTGGCGGGGCCCAGGAAGCCAGCAGGTGCCTCTTGATCCTCGGCCCCTTTCTGGGCGTCCACCTTTCTCTGCCCGTGCTGTCCTGACCCGTCTTCCCCAGCTGTTCCCAGTGGGGACAGCAGAGGGGAACACCAGGCAGGTGGTGGCAGTGTCGTGTCTCAGCCAAGCCTTTCCCACTGCTAGCCATCTTGAGGACAGAGGGAAGCCCTGTCTGAATGTTGACACGTGCTGCGTTTTGTAGCTGAGATGGAAACTCAGGCCATGTGTTCTGGTGCTGGTGATGTTCACCTCACTCCCTCATTGCAAGACCATGCGCTGGAGCAGACCCAGGGTCACTGACCTCACCTGCGTGACGTAAAGGCTGGCGTGTTTGCAGACGGTGGTGGCTGCCCGCACTTCCCTTCCCGCTGGAGCTGATAACCGCGGAGACCGAGGACACGCTGGCGTGGGGCTCCGCGAGGCTGCCCGTCCTGTTTGCTTTTTCTTTCCTCAGACAGACCGAGCAGCTGCTGGAGCTGCTGACCGCAGAGATCCTGCGCCCCACCAGCCAGGCCCCCCACGGGGTGAAGAGCCACTTCATCGAGATCTTCCTGGAGGAGCTAGCCAAAGTGGGCGCCGAGGAGGTGAGGCTGGGCGCCGACGGGGCGGCGGAGCTGGGTGCGTGAGGAGGACGGGCTGAGCTCCCGCCGGCTTTCCCCACAGCTCACGGCAGACCAGAACCTCAAGCTCATCGACCCCTTCTGCAGAGTCGCCGCCCGGACCAAGGAGTGAGTGCTGGGCAGCCTGGTCGGGCCTGCCTCCTTCACTGAGCTTTTCCGTGGGGCCGTCGTTTCGGGGGTACCGCTCCCTCCAGGGAAGAATCCGGGTTGCGGAGCGGCTGCCGGCCGTGCGGGTGGGGAGAGCTCGCAGGGGCGTCGGCTGCTTCCGCGTGGGGATCCAGCACGCCGGGCCTGTGCCGGCCTCTGCTCTGCCCCTCAGCTCCCTGGTTTTGAACAACATCACTCGAGGCATCTTTGAAACGATTGTGGAACAGGCCCCACTGGCCATCGAAGACCTCCTGAATGAACTGGACGCGCAAGATGACCAGGCGGCGTCGGACAGCGATGAGTCCTCGGAGGGCGGTGAGCGCGGACACACGCTGCCCCGGAAGGGGCCGAGAGGCCGCCCGCAGGTCGGGGCACAGCACGACTCGCTCCTCCTGGGCGCCCGGCCTGGGCCGAGCCAGTGTGGTCTCCTGCTGGGTTGCTCCAGCCACCTCCTGCCTGGTCCCTTTGTCTCTGCCCTCCGCAAAGTCCATCCTCAGCGTGGAAGCCAGAGCGACCTCTGACCCGCAAGCACATGGGTCATTTTCCCTGTCAGCCCCCAGCCTCTGGTGTGCTCCGTGCCCTCTCCGGACCCCTGGGCTCCTCGGTCTAACCCAGCAGGCCTCTGGCTCAGTCACGCCCCTGGGCCTGCTCCGGCCTTGGTGCCGAGGCTCCTGTTCCTCCCGCCGTCTGTCCCCCGTCACTGTCCCGGCCTCTCCCAGCCTCCCACGCAGTCCTCTCCTAGCCTCCTGGCCTCCCCCGGCCTCCCAGCCTCCCACGTCACCCTGTGGCACAGGATGTGAATCACTTGCTCATGTTCCTTGTTCCTGGCCTGTCTCCCCACAGGACAGTGAGCTCTGTCCGTACTGACCGTGGCTGGGTTCAGGCCTGAGGTCTTGGGGCACCTGGCTGCTATGGGACGGGTGGGTGGACCTGCCCCTCCCTGCCTGCCAGAGGGCACTGGGGCAGCCGTGGGGTCCAGCCTGGCCCATTTCTGGTTTGATGCTGCCTCCCTGTTGGAGCCTCCTGGGTGGCCTGAGCCCTAAGTGTGGCATCTTGGTGCTGGGGAGGGCCTGTCTTTGACCATGCTCAGGACCCCAGTCTACCCCTGAGTCAGTGCTGTGGCCGCTGTGCCCCTTGGCTTCCTAATCAGAAGACCCCCCTCCCCACCACCCCCAGTACTTGGCCCGGCCACTCTGCATGTCTCCCTGGTCCCTGCCTTGCCCTTCTCTCAGTAGCCGAGGAGGCGCCTGGCAGGTCCGCCAGTGCCTGCTGCCACCTCCAGAGCAGACCCTTGTCACATGCTGCCCCCACAGCTGCCTGTTGCCCGGAAACCTTTCTTCTGCAGACAGTGCCGTTAAAGCCCCAAGTGCCTGGGGCAGCTCGAGCGCTCGATGGAAACCTCGGTGCCCACAGCCTTTGTTGCCCGAGGTGCCAGCTTGTAGACAGCCACTCAGGGCTGTATAAGCACCTCTGCCCCGGGATGTCTTTTTTTCCTTTCCAGGCCTGAGGTGGCACCTCTCGTCCAATCCATATGAGATGAGAGATGACTGTCCCTCGAGCTGCGGGCTTTCCTGCCTGTGCCCGCGCTCTGACAGGGCACATGGAATGGGCTCTCCGCTCCCGTGGGGCGGAACATGTTGGGGGCGGTACATGTTGGGGGCGGGTCTTGGAGTTCACAGTGTCCCTTTTGTTCCAGGTTCCCTCTCCAAGGCTGAACCTGAGGCTGGTGAGGAGCAAGCAGGTGACGACAGGGACAGTGGCGGCCCCGTCCTCCAGGTGGGTGCCCTGAGCTCCCAGTTTTCGCCCTCAGCCTTTGTCTTCCTGTGCAGCTGCCGGCTCCGGAAGAGGAGGGGCTGTTAGGAGGGAGGAGAGCCACCTGCACAGGGGTTAGCTTTGAAGGAGGGGTGGGTACCCCGACCCTGCCCACCTGCAGGCGAGTGGGGTCATTGAGAGGGGGCTGGGCCCTGGGTGGGCGAGCTCAGAGGCAGGCCCACAGTGTCCAGGGCTGGCCTGCCCTCACACACGGGCAGCTCCCCAGATTTCCTGCGGCCCCGTCGTTGGGGTGCTCGGCTGGAATGAGACGGCGCAGGCCAAGTGGCCAGCTGTGGGTCCCGTGAGGAGTCCGCTCAGCTGGGGGGGTCTGACTCCAGGCATACTGGAAACCTAAATGTCTGAAGTTTTGAATATGATTGTCTGTGGGCTTAGTACGGTGTGGATATCTTCTTAGGTTAATATTGGTCAGATTGACTTGTTTTCTTTGTCCTTGTCTGTTTGTGGCTGCTAGTCCTGTAAAGCTGCTGCAGGCTTCTGGCGGGTGTGGACCCCCAACCCCCACAGTTTACCCCCTATAGTGCACCTGCAGTGCGTGCGCCCCCCAGCGCGTGCCCCCCAGTGCGTGTGCCCCGCAGTGTGTGTGTCCCCCAGTGCGTGTGTCCCGCAGTGTGCCCTGCAGTGCGTGTGTCCCCCAGCGCGTGTCCCGCAGTGCGTGTGTCCCCCAGCGCGTGTCCCACAGTGCGTGTGTCCCCCAGCGCGTGTCCCGCAGTGCGTGTGTCCCGCAGTGTGTGCCCTGCAGTGCGTGTGTCCCCCAGCGCGTGTCCCGCAGTGCGTGTGTCCCCCAGCGCGTGTCCCACAGTGCGTGTGTCCCCCAGCATGTGTCCCGCAGTGCGTGTGTCCCCCAGTGCGTGTGTCCCGCAGCGTGTGCCCCGCAGCGCGTGTCCCCCAGCGTGTGTCCCCCAGCGTGTGTCCCCAGCGCGTGTCCCGCGGTGCGTGTCCCCCAGTGTGTGTGTCCCCCAGCGCGTGTCCTGCAGTGCGTGTGTCCCCCAGTGTGTGTGCCCCACAGTGCGTGTGTCCCCCAGTGTGTGTGCCCCACAGTGCGTGTGTCCCGCAGTGCGTGTGTCCCCCAGCGTGTGTCCCCAGCGCGTGTCCCGCGGTGCGTGTCCCCCAGTGTGTGTGTCCCCCAGTGCGTGTCCCCCAGTGTACCCTGCAGCATGCGTTCCCCAATGTGCATGCCCAGCAGTGTGTGTCTGCAATGTGTGCCCTGCAGCGTGTGCCTAGCAGTGTGTCTCGCAGCTTGTAAGGTGCCTGCTGTGCTGTGGGCTCGGAGGCTGCAGGACCCTCAGTGAGGGTGGGCTGTGGTCTTGGGGGCCGGGTGGAGAACCCGCACGTGGGACCGAGTGCTGCCTGGGTCTCTGGGGTTCCACGTTCTCGGAGCACGCAGAGGGTGACTGACCTTGTCTCCGACGTCTCTTCTGAAATAGTTCGACTACGAGGCAGTTGCTAACAGACTGTTTGAAATGGCCAGCCGCCAGAGCACCCCTTCTCAGAACAGGAAGCGCCTCTACAAAGTCATCCGGAAGTGAGTGGCTGAGGGCGCTGTGTCCGCCCTGCGGCCCTGGGAGTGGCCCTCTCCCCTCAGATCCGGGTGCCTTCGCCTTGCCCTGGGCCTTTCCGCAGTCCCTGGAGGGGCCCCCTCGAGGACCCCGAGGCCCTCCACAGCCCCTGGGGCTCCCCTGGCTGGGACCCTGCACGTCCTCTGGTGGCAGTTTTTCCTCCTCCTGCGGAAGCCGCGGCCGTGGTGAGCGGGTGTCTGTCTTACTTTTTCAGGCTACAGGACCTGGCAGGAGGTGAGAACATGCGGGTACTGACAGTGGCACCATGGAAGTGGAGCTCCGTCCTCATGGGAGTGGACTGGTTCCAGGGGTCACAGCACGTGCAGTCTTTGCAGAGAGGCCCGGTGGGGTTTCTGAGGGACGGAGGCAGGGCTCCGGGCCCCACAGCTCTCGCTTCTGTCGTTTTTGATGAGGGGTTCTCAGACTTGAGCATCTGCTGGAGTCCCCCAGAGCCCGAGAGATGGGGTGCTGGCCGCAAGGGCTCCCCAGCACTGACCACAGTGCGGCCACCGGTCTGTTGTGCAGCAGGTGTCTGTCCTTGGCAGCATGTGGCAGAGGGAACCCGCACAGGCTATGTGTGGGAAGGACAGTTTCCAAGGGCCCTGATGGTTAGAGATGTAAGCGTTTCCCAGCGCTTCCTAATGGAACAGGTCAGACCTGCCGCATGGCTGCAGGGATTTCATGGTGGATGCCGGCCTGTCCCGGGCTCCAGCCTCCGCCCTTCCCGTCCTTGTCTGTCTGTCGTCACGGCCCCTGCATCCACCAGCGAGCACGTCATGAGCTGTCGTCCAGGGTTGGTTTCCCTTTTGAGACAGTGTCTCGCTCCATTGCCCAGGTTGGAGCGCAGTGTGTGATTGCAGCGATCTCCTGGGCTCAAGCGGTCCACCCCGACCTCCAGTCGCTGGGCCCACAGGCGCACGCCGGTCTTCTGTAGAGACGGCTGGCTGTGCTGCCAGGCTGGTCGTCTGGGGTTTTAGGACAGCGTGCGTCAGTGAGGCGCATGAGGATTGTGCGTACCTGGTGGTCGTGATGTGGAAAGTCCCCTCGTGTCCCAGCGTGGGCATTTCTAGGCTGTAGACTTTGGTGCATGGGTCAGGCGTCACTCTCTGGACCCCAAATCCAAAATGCTGTAGAATCCGCAACTGAGTGCTGCGTGTTGGAGGGAAATGCTCATTGGAACATTCTGGATTTGGGATTTTCAGATTAGAGATCTTGAAATTAGCTGGTGACTATGATGCAGACATTCCCAAGTCCAAAACCGTCTGATATTTAGAGCAGTTCTGGCCCCGGGCATTTAGGTTCATGGAAACTGTGTCATCAGTGCTCCAGGAACTGGCGTTTCCTCACCGGCTTGGGACTGAGCTGGTTTGGTGCAGCTGTGGTGGTGGCCCCGATGCTGCCCCCGGCTGTTAGAGCAGGCGGGAGGTGGCGCTGGCTGGGGCCTGCTGGAAGCATTGAGCCTCAGACCAAAAGCCTGCGGCCCCCAGAGCCCCCTGACTTCTGCCGTGGTTCTCAGGTGTTTTCCCCGAGGACGAGATCCCGGAGAAGGCTTGCAGGCGTCTGCTCGAAGGGAGGCGGCAAAAGAAGACAAAGCAGCAGAAGCGTCTGCTCAAGCTGCAGCTGCAGCGCGGGAAGGGTAGGCCCGGGGGCGGGAAGGGTAGGCCTGGGGTGTTTGGCCACGAGGGTGTTGTCTTCACCGGCTGTGCAGGCTCTCCCCCTGAAGCATGAGTGCCCAGTCCCCGTCCTGGGTGCCTGCTGTCCACATGTCCCAGAAATGCCCTGTCCTTGGCATCCCCCCCACCCCGCCTTCCTTGTCTGCAGCTCCCGCCGGCTGTGTGTGCTGCCCTCCCTCCCAGCCCTGTCTGCTCCTCCCCCGCACCCTCCGAAGATCCCTGAGCCTCTCCACTTTGGTCCTTGATTTCAGGGGTTGTCTTCCCTCCGGGCCTCTGGCCACATGAGTATGGGTGGCATGTGACACCCCACTAGGGGCAGCCTTGCACCTGCTGCAGACCACCCAAGGCCCAGAGCTGCCTGTCTGCAGTGGAGGGGCTGTGCCCAGTGCCGGGCAGGGTGTAGGGCCCGTGGCCAGAATGGGGCGCACAGGAGGGAGATGGTGGCTTTCCTTGTTACTCTCTCCGTGCTAACGCGGCCCCAGGGCCTGGGGATCCACCCCTTCCTGTTACTCTGTCCACTCATTTCCCACGGGGCGGTGGCCTCCTCTCTGCAGCCAGCCCTCAGCTGGTTCTGCACCCGCACCATACACTGTCTGCATGGCTCTCTGTGTGCAGCAAGTTGTGTTAACACTGTTGGCCCTGGCATTCAGGGCCTGGCACTGCCTGGCATCTTCTGCCATGAGCCGAGTCCTGCCTGCTCCTCCGTGCCTTTGCTCCTGGGTCTTGTGACCCTGTCCTCACACTGGTCCTTCCGAGGTCGGCCATCACTAGGGTCCTGGGCCGTGTGGATGGAGCTTGGTGCCCACACTGGACACGGGACGTGCCTGGCCGGCTGTTGTGGCCCTGTTGTCCCCCCAGCTCGGCAGTGCTGGCATCCTTAGCCCGAGTTGGACGGAGGGAAAGGAGCCCATGGTGGCATTCTCTGGCTCATGGGGCCTTGCTGTTTTGTCAGGGAAAGGTGAGACGGAGCCCTTGAGCCCGGGCATGGAGAGGAAGAGCAGCAGGAGGTGCGTGGGGGCCGACCCTGAGGTGCGGGCAGAGGCTGCTGAGCGGGCCCTGCTCCGAGAGCAGCCTGGGGGCCGTGGCCAGAGAGGGGCTCGCCGGAGGAGGAGGGTGCCCCGTGCCCGAGCCCAAGCAGAGGTGCCCAGCGTCCAGGAGCCGAAGAAGAAGAAATGCAGGAAGTGACGTGGCCGGGCCCAGGGCAGGCAGGGAGGGAGGCCAGGCCGTGCTTGCACCGAGGGACGAGGCTGACTGGGCCGTTCCGTGGACTTGGGACCATGGCTCCAGAGCTCCTGTGCCAGGCGGAGGCAAGGGCGGCACTGGAGAGGTGGACCCGCCATTAGGAGCCAGCGTCCCGGGAACCACTCCTCTCCCTAGCCTCCGCCTGTGGCTGCGATGACCTTGGGTCAGAAGGTCAACTCTAAGACTGAAAACTCCCCCTGCAGCAGGACTGGCCGCCCCCGCCATGGGGGTTCTGGAAATAAAGTGCTGCGCAGCACTTGCCCTGGAAATGTCACTCCTGGTGTGCCCTGCGGATGTGTGGGAGGTGGCAGGTGCCCGTATCTGAGCAGCGTGGTCTTTTAGATTTGTGTTTGTAACACACTTCTCCTTTCACAGAGCGCCCAAGCGTTCACAGGGCTGTCTGATGGGGCCCTCTTGCACCCCCGCCATCGGGGGTTGGAGTTGTGTAGGGAATTCTCCAGTGAGGCCGGCATTGCTGGGGTGAGAAGGGAGGGGCTGGCTCCTGCGAGCGCTTGTCCTATGGCTTGGAGGCGGGGGCCCACCCACCCTCCTGGGTACCCGCGGATCTGCAGGCTGCGCGCCTCCTCCGCTCAGCCTGGTCCCATCACGCTCAGCGTCTGCCCTGCCCCTCTTCCCGAGGGTCTGAGGCGGCCGCAGCCTGCAGGAGCCTGTGAGGGAGGTGGCGGGTCCCCGACAGTACCTCAGGGCTTTCCACCTGCAGCCTGCAGAGGGGACAAGGGGCTGCTGTGTTGGGTTTTGCCCGAATCTTCTGTTCCATGGGTGCCCAGCCAGCCAGGCTGTGCAGGGTCCAGTGACAGGCGGGGCTTGGAGTAAGCTTAGGACCAGGGAGAACCCCCAGGCCTTGGCTGGCATTGCGTAGACCCCAGACCGCACCCGGTTTCCCAAAGCTCTGCTGCATTCAAGTGTCCCCCCGCCTCCATGGAGGTGGCAGCTGTTGACACCTTACTCCCACTGAGCCAGGCAGCTGGGGCAGACTTAGGGCCAGTTAGGAGCCAAGGAGAAGGAATGCCAGGGTCCGTGTTCTAGAGATTAGGGTTCTTTCCCCAAAGTGACTTAAAAAAAGACAAGTGTGGCCGGGCGCCGTGGCTCACGCCTGTAATCCCAGCACTTTGGGAGGCCAAAGCAGGTAGAGCACCTGAGGTCTGTAGTTGGAGACCAGCCTGGCATGGAGAAACCCTGTCTCTACTAAAAATACAGAATCAGCTGGCCGTGGGGGCGCACACTTGTAATCCCAGCTACTCGGGAGGCAGAGGCAGGAGAATCGCTTGAACCCGGGAGGCAGAGGTTGTGGTGAGCCAAGATTGTGCCATTGCACTCCAGCCCGGGCAACAAAAGCGAAATTCGTCTCAGAAAAAAAGACAAGTGTGTACGAGCCCTGGGCCTGGGCGGTGTTCCCTGGGCCTGGGCTGTTCACCCCCAGCAGGGCCTGTCTGCGATGGGAGGCCTTTCGCAGGGAAGGGGCACACTCTGGCTCACGGGTCTTACTGTTCTGTCAGGGAAAGGCGAGAAGGAGCCACCAAGCCTGGGCATGGAGAGGAAGAGCAGGAGGAAGGGCGGGGGCTCCTGTTTGTGTTGTTCTTTGGTTGGAAACTAAGGAAACAGCCATGCTGACAGAAGATTCTGGAAAAAAGCAAATTAGTCATGTCTAATTGCAGTTCTGAAACCAGAAGCCGTGGTGACTTGGGCTCTTCTCACATGCGTGTTCACAGGGGAGGTTTTCACAGCTGCCGGCGTGTCGCGCTCTGGCCATCTCCGCTCCATGCTGGGCACACATTTCCCGTCTGCAGAATCGTTTTAAATAACCTCATTGTCTTAGGACGTGAATGACTGACTTCCTCTCCTATTGGTAGGCTGTGATTTTTATTTTTATTTTTATTTTTATGGTTTTTTTTTTTTTTTTTAGATGGAGTCTTGTTCTGTCACGCAGGCTGGAGTGCAGTGGTGTGATCTTGGCTCACTGCACCCTCTGCCTCCTGGGTTCAAGCAGTTCTTCCTTCTCAGCCTCCCGAGGAGCTGGGACTACAGGCATGCGCTACCATGCCCAGCTAATTTTTTTTAATTTTTTTTATTTTTAGCAGAGACGGGGTTTCACCATGTTAGCCAGGCTGGTCTCAAACTCCTGATCGATCTCGTGATCCATCCACGTTGGCCTCCCAGAAGGGTGGGACTACAGGCGTGAGCCACCACGCCTGGCCTCTTATTTTTTAAGAGACAGTGCTTGCCATGTCACCCAGGCTGGAGTGCAGTGGTGCAATCACAGCTCACGGTAGCCTTGAACTCCTGGACTCAGGCGGTCCGCCGCAGCCTCCCAGGTAGCTGGGACTGTGGGATGACAAGTGCTATCGCCACAGGCTGCGGGTTCTTCATCGAGGTCACTCTTGTTTTTCTTCGGCAATCTTCCTCCTCCAGCCGGAAACAGCAATGAGAACCCTCCAGGAAAGTGGAAGTGGCTGCCAACCATTGCACCTCAGAGGCGCTGGGATGTGAAAGTCAGGGTCGTTTTAATTTCCCCATATAAATGTAGTTCCAGCCACGCAGGAGGCCAAGGCAGGAGACTCGCCTGAGCCCCCGAGAGCAGCACTGAGAGGTAATTCACATAGAGTGCAGCTGGCCCGGCTCAAGTGTATATAATTCAAGTTTTCAGCATAGAGTTGTGCGGCCATCACCACAGTCAACTTTAGACCATTCTCAGCCCAAAAGAAGCTGGGCATGCCTTGGCCGTCACCTCTCCGTCTCCCCGCCACACCCACTGATCTTCCCGGCCTCAGGCGGCCCTGCTGTGGCCATGCCGTGTTAAGGGACTGCAGCACGGGGTGTTTCGCGCCCAGCCGCTTTCATGCAGCGTGGTTCCGGGGCTCATCCCCACTGTGGATTCTTCCTCGTGGCTGAGCCACAGCCCATGGTACAGAGGGAGCACATTTCATCTGCCGTTTGTCGGCTGGTGGGCATTCGGGTGTTTCCGCCGTGCTGTGGCCTGTGGGTGAGTTTTCATGTGGACGGAGGCTTTCGTTCCTCTCGGGTAGGCGGCTGGGAGTGTTACTGCTAGGTTCAAGCGATTCTCCTGCCTCAGCCAACCGGGTAGCTGGGACTACAGGCACGGGCCATCACGCCCAGCTACTGTTTGTATTTTTAGTAGAGACAGGTTTCATTCACCATGTTGGTCAGGCTGCTCTTGAACTCCTGACCTCAGGTGATTTGCCCACCTTGGCCTCCCAAAGTGCTGGGATTACAGGCGTGAGCCACCGCGCGTGGTGTCCTGACCTCTCTTACAGCTCAGCCCTGTGACCTAATTTAACCCTAAGGACCTGCTTAGAGGCCCCATCTCCAGTCACAGTGGGCGTTAGGGCTTCAGCCTGCACACGGGGGGTGGGGGGTACGACACAGTCCTGTTGACAGTGTGTGTGTGCGCGCGTGTGTTGCTTATTTATCATGAGGAGCCACCTCACGAGTTCTGCAGGGTAGGTGACCGGCTGGAGACTCCAGGAAGGTCCTCTGGCTAAGGGAGCTTGGCCTTTTAAGGCCTTCACCTGGTGGCCTGGCCGAGGCACCCTCACTGGAGGCACACCTGCTTTACTCAGGCTGCTGATTCAAATCAGCCTCATCCTGGAAACACCCTCAGGCGCTCGCCCAAAGCTGGGACAGGGCCTGCTGCAGCGTGGGCCCCTCGATGTGTGGTTATGTGCCGCCCGTGACCGCCTGGCTTGGGTTCGGAGTTTGCCTCCAGTTGCGGGTATTCTAGGGTTTCCCTTCTGTGTTTGAACCTCCCTTTCCTGAAAGGATTCTGGCTTCCTTTACTCCCAATACCCAGTTCATGTAGAACTGAGGCCGGGTGTGGGTGCCCTCCTCGCCCTCGTCTCTGTCGCCCCCGAGGGAACCCTCCTGCCTCTTCACCTGCTTTCACGCCCAGGGCTCTGACACCAGGACACCCGCTCCTCACCCAGCCTGGGCCTCCGTGGCCCCCACCTGCACGGTGCAGCTCTGGCCTTGGCCCTGTCTGTCTGGGACTCGAGAGGGAGCTTGAGGGAACCTGGCGGTGCCTTGTGGACGGGAGTCACAGGCAGGACCTGGCAAGTGGCAGTGCCCCACCTCCCCATTTGAAACCCACAAGGAGGAAGAGAGGAAACTTCTCAACTCGCACCACAGAGACTTGTAGCCATCCCGAGAGCTGTGGCCACGTAAGCATGACGCTCCACGCTGGGTGTGGGTGAGGGTCTTCCAGGGACCCTGAGCTTTTTTTAGAACAACTTGGAGATGTAATTCAGGCAGCGTTCAGTTCCCCTTTGTGGGCGCACAATCGGGCAGCTGTGTGTTCGACACATTCACTTAGAACATCTCAGTGCTCCAGACAGCAAGTCATACGCAGGGCGCCTTTACCCTGAGGTCATGGGGGGGGGGCGGGGCTGTGGACTCGCAGGTGTTGAGGGGGGTGTGCATTTATGACTTCGGAGCAGCTCCACGGTCTAGGGCAAACATGCCGTGTCCTCGCTGACTTCAGAACTTCCGTGGCAAACCCACGCCACAGCTTCACTGCTGTCACGGGCTCTGCTCAGAGGTGACATTCTGGGGACCGAGCAGCAGCTCTGGAGTTAGACTTGGAGGGGCCATGCCCGGGCTGCCCTGCTTTGCCTGCCGGCCTCAGTACTGATAGGTGGAGACCCAGCTGCGTCCCACGCGCCTCACATGCCAAAGGCTCTTCCCTGCAGGCTCAGCTCAGGCAGCCTGGGTCGCCGGAGGTGCCCATTTTCCTGCCTGGCATGGCTGAGCAGGGCCAAGAAACAGCCTTGGACCCCAAGACCTCTCCCTCAGCCAGAATGTTCTCTACGTGAGCTTCTCACTCTCAACTATGGTGGTGACCGAGAACTTCTCCCAGTAGGCCCTGCGGGAAGCAGAGGCTTTGCACAGGTGCAGGAGGCTCAGGAGGGCGCAGCCTCCAGCGAGGGTGGGCGCTGCAGCTGTGGCAGGGGTGACGGGAAGGGCTGAGGGGGGCGGCAGGTCAGCCAGCGCCCTGGGCGCTGTGGGGCGGCTCACGCAGGGGTGTGACCTGGCCAGGCAATTTTGGACGCACTCTCTGGCTGTGGGATTGAGGTTGGGTTTGGGGACAGCCCCTCCCACTGGCTTGTCTCCCGGAGCTTCCACTGTTGCATATACTGCATGCTGAAGAGAGACCGCTAATGAGGACTGTCCCCCGTCATTGGCCCAGAAGTTCCCTGGAAGGGGCACAAGACCCAGGCAGGGACTGCTGAGGCCT